TGCTACAGGTAGCTCTAAAAATTCTATGTGGAATAGGCTATATATCAAAAGCAAGCGCTATCCTGGAGCAGCACAAATTTCCTTCGAAATCCTGCCAGAGCAACTTCACCAATGGAGGAGATGGGAAATCAACCAAAACACTGATGGTTGTCACGTGGTAACCCAACCCGCATTTCCTGTTGCTGCTACGCCCCGTTGCCAATCCCTTTCATTTACTCTATTATCTATGAGTAAATGAAAGGGATAGGAAACTTCCGTTCCCGGGAAATCAAGCTATTTACCCTAGAAAGCGGAGGAATCCGGATACTAGTATACTCTAGCTGTTATTTTCCATCGCTACAATGGGCGACTAGCCTGACTAGGCCATAATTCGTCCCTTGTAATAGCAAAAGTATGCTTCACAAAGACAAGATAATGGGCGGAAGACCCAGAATAACTCATCTAGATTCTGTATCTGAAGTCTCTTTAGTCATTACTCGTTCAAGCAGTGAGATAATGGTACCCAACTAAACGCGGAAAGTTTACTTGTTTTTGAGCATAAAATGTCGAGAAAACAAGCTTTTGGAATTATTAAAGTTGGAAGACCTAAAGAAAAGAATTCTTTAATAGGGGCTTGCTTTAAATCTTTCGTTTATAATATTGCTTTTGAGATAATGGGGACCAAAGAACAAACTAGTACTTTTTAAACTTTTAATCGCTAATAAATGCAATAGAAGAGCGTAAATCTTGCTATTTTTGGCTACAGCATGATAGTGGTATAACAGCTGATTTCTTTGAAGTATCGTATGGCACTGCAATCACTACTATGCGAGTGCTATAGGTGAAAATCAGTGCTGCAGAGATGGAGAGAGCAAGTCTGGCCAGGGGTAACTAGCTTAAGTTGCTAGGCAACCTAATAATCTCAATGGAATAATCCACCCACGCAACGGAAGTTTCCTATCCCTTTCATTTACTCTAATATCTATCATAGATATTAAATGACAGGGATTGGAAACGGAAGCGTGGGCGTAGCCTAACCTCCATTCATTTGTATTGCTGCTAGGCTGACAGAGGCTCGTTGAAATTTTTTGTCACAATTTACCCTTGATTTTTTTTCTCTTAGAAACAATATCTCGCGAACAAGTGTTCCTATGCAAGTGGAATTAATGCATCAAGAAGCCTAATGTTTCCTCTTAATAATTCTGTTTTCTATTGTATAGATAATTTTACTATGTTCATGTTATGGCTCTTTTAAAACCATAAAATGTATTTTTTGTCATTATAATCCCTTTTTTGAAAACAAGCTAGAGTAAGATACAAGATCTTTATAATCATATGAAAGAGCCTTAATTTGCATATGGAATGATACTAGTTAGAGTTAGAATCCATGAAGCATGAGTTTGTTACAACAGAAAAAGGATGAAAAATGAAAAAATTTTGTTGTACCTATAACTCGTTGAAAAATAGCGTTGTAGAAGTAAAAACCTTGCTGCAGGTAGTCCTAAACTTTCTATATGGAACGGTAGGTATATCATAAGTAAGCGTCCTCTTGGATTTCCATAAATATCCTTCGAAGTCCTTGCAGTACAGCCTCACTAATGGAGGAGATGGGAAATCAACCAGGTATTGGGCCGGTAACCAATAGCAACATCAACTAGCCTACGCCCCCGTTTCCAATCCCTTTCATTTACTCTATTATCTATGTATCTATGGTGTGACCATGGCCACACCCACATGTCTTGTTTGTGTTTAAAGACTGTTAAACGAGCATGTGCAGAATATAACCACTGCTCCACCTTACGTGATGATTGCTACAGCACCGAGCGAGCATGAGCACGGCCTGTGGGCTGCCCAGTCAATTAAAAATGGCGGGTGGCTTTAGAATGTAATTAAAAATGGGCAGTGAAGAATCACAGAATGCAAGCACCACAGGCATCTACAAGATCTAAAAAAGACTCTTAGAAGAGTACAGACAGTTTTACTAACTCCCTATACCAGCAGAAGACTCAAAAGAGCCATGCATCATGCAGCTTTAACTAAAACTATAAAATTAAACATGGCTGTCAACAGACCAAAGCTATCTAGCTTGTTCTTAGATAGCAAGGATTGAAAATCTTCTAAATTATGACTAAAGGCACCTTTCTCTTCGGCAGACTCAAACTCGATGTTAAAAGTCATCCTGAATGAGTCCTTGATCGTTCTGAAGCTCGGCCTGTTTACTATGACTCGCTATAAACAACTTAACCGTGGATTTAGTCAGAAAATAAGAACAAGAAACATGTGGAAATAAGAGGCCAGGCAATTGTAGCCTCTTACTTTTACTGTTACTATGTAAATCAACTGATGTTATCAAGATTTCTATCATGTGTAATCGCCATTTTGAATATTTGCTTCCATTTTTGGGCAGACCACCCCCCTTTTATACTGCGCATGCTCGTTTAAGACTTCTATTTCAGCATTTTGTGAAGAAATCAAGTTGAAAAAGGCACTGAAATTCTCAATGAAGAGTTACCCTGCCATTCTTGCGTTCAAGAGGAGAAAATTCAGTACCTAAAAGACTTCTATCAATGATAGAGTATCATTAGCTAGGTGATTTAGCTGTTGAATAAGTCCTAGCTGACTATGATGATTAATAATGAAGCTGCTATTATGAAGGAGTCAGTTATTCTAGCTGCAGATTATACCTTCCTGAAGTGGCCATAGATTAGTCAGGCTAACCATAGATGTGGACCTATGAAGTGGTTGACTGGCTTCCTGTGATTAAACCATGCAGTTAGCAGCTTATTCTCTACTAATTCTCACTTTGTTGAGCAAAATAATACAGTTTTTGTCATTAAAATAGCTATATTCCATGTAATAACTACTAAATAATTATTAATTAACTGCTAATTATGATGATGTCATTTTCCGGTAAGAAATTCTAGTAGGGCATTGCCCTCATTGCCTGCCTGCCCCTGCAGCCGCCTATGCTTGTGAATATCATTAATTTTGCAATGAATATCATCTCAGTTACGGTATACACCCACACACAATAATTGGCCGCCATGTTTTACGTCAAGCAGCAAGTGCTTTCTGTGTCCTGGAGATCTTGGTCACTACATTTTGAAGCTAAAAACTATTCTAGAGTCAAGAAAGATGCCAAGAGAGCCAACCTAGGGAGTATAGTGCAATACTCTTGTTGTGTATGAGCCTGCTTTCCTCTTTGGGCTGTGACAGAGAGTCAAGAACTGATCGTTCTGGCTCTCCCAGACTTCTTAAGTCTTCAAAATATCTTGCTATAGTAAAGAACAGTTGATATGAAGCCTCTCATAGTCCTGAGTTCAGCACAACAAAAGTTTTATTGGCAAAACAGCTCTACTTTGCACATCAGCCATTGAAACTCTGCATAACTTTGACGTAAAACATGGCGGACAAAAATCCGTTCAATATTATTTCTTTGTATATACGGTATCACAAACTAATTCTCGCCTAAAGGGGTCTATATAGCTTTAGTTACGGGTATGGCATCTAAGGGGGCATTGGAACCTCTGGCAAGAGCTGACAAGATAGTGAAGAAACATGAAGCCACTCCTATACTACAAGATAGCGATTGTATAGCAGCTATTGACTTTGGGACCTCATCTGTATCAGTAGCATACACCACTCCGCGGTTGAATCCAACAAGAGATGTGAAAGTTGTACCACTTCACAAAACTTATGAAAGAGTCCCTAATGCTATACTAATCAAGAAAGATCAAGAGAGACAAGATTACTGGAAAACTTCTGAAATTGGACATCACGCACAAAGTACATATAGCAAGATGAAGAAGAAGGGTTCTGAAAATGTCATATATTTTGAACGAATAAAAAACCTACTGAAAAGAGATGAAGTGAGTTCATGATATAATGATGCACAATTGTTATATTAAGTAATAATCCCTTAGTCATTAGATCGTACTACCCAAGTCCCTTCATTCACTGGTGGTTCTTATTATCTTATTGAAGTTATAGCTTTTATACTAACACACCTCAAGGAGAAGCTGCTGGATGATCATCTGAAAAGAAAGTACAAGTCAACTGATTTTGATTGGGTCATTACTGTTCCTGCTATATGGGAAGAAAGAGCAAGAAGAATGATGAGAGAAGCTGCTTATATGGTAACCTAATACATGCTTTGTATTTCATTATGTTAATATGATAGGCTGGTCTCACTTCTGATGCTCCTGGTATAACAAGGTTCACTCCAGTTGGTTCCCCTTTACCACGTCCAGAGGAGGTTAATCCTCAGAAGCTATCATTAGCTCTAGAACCAGAAGTAGCTGCTATAGCTGCACATAAGTATTCAGAAGAATCAGGAACATCTCCACAAAGATATATGGTAGTTGATATAGGAGGAGGTACAGTTGATATTACTATACATGATAAGAGTAATGGGAGAATTAGTGTAGTACTACCACCAATGGGGAACACCTGGGGGGGTACTACTGTCAATGAAGCATTATCAGCAATACTAGAAGAAGTATTGGATGATAAAGGTTTCGAGGCTTTCATAAAATCAGATGCTAATGCTAAAGCTGCTCTCAATAAACTCTTCTATGAAGACTTTGAGGAAGTGAAAAAATTATTTGGAGATGCAAAAGAAGATATGGAGGAAATAGCAATAATTTTACCTATGAAATTAATGAATTTTTATTGCAACGACAAGCTTCAAAAGGCAAAGCAAGTGAATATGGATTACGATCCTGAAGATGGTTCATTAAGCATAGGACACAACCTATTAGAAGAAAAGGTATTCAAATCCACAGTTGATAAGATCATAGAGTGCATGAGGGAAGCATTTGATCACTTAACAGATCCTATCGATACAGTTTATCTGGTAGGAGGGTTTGGAGGGTGTAGGTTTGTTAGCCAAAAGATAAAAGAAGCTATCACTCAGCATTGTGGTAATATAGTGTGTCCTGTACAACCAGATCTTGCTGTAGTAAGAGGAGCAGTAATGTGGAGGAAAGATCCTAACATAATCCAATCACGTGTTGCTGATGCTACTTATGGGACAAGTGTTAATGCTATATTTAACCCAGAAATACATGATGAAGATTATGTGTTTGAGGATAAAGAAGATCATGAAGAATACTGTTCATGTATATTTAAGGTATTTGTACTCAAAGGAGAAGCAATTAAGGATGAAGAATATAAAGCTACATTTATACCTGGCCGTCAAGAAGATATAAAAGCTCATATCCCTATATACTGTACAGGAGATGATGGAGTTCAGTATACAAGAGATAAAGAAGGTGAACTAACAGTACGTAAGATTGGTGAACTGGTACTTGATATTCCTAATCCTGATAATCTACCAAGGGAGGAGAGAGAATATGACGTATTCATGGATTTCAGTGGTACAGAGATACAAGCAAGAGCTCAGTATAGTATCACTGGAGAAGAAGTGAAAACAGTTTGTGACTTTCTATCAAAACAAGACTAATAATAACTGTAGTAACATAATCCCACATAATAGATTATTACATGCGTTTACTTTATTTTACAACACACAAATTACTTAAGCTGCCAACCAGATGAATCAGACTAAGTATTAGTATATACTATCTCAATGTAATTCATAAATACTAAATAGGCTCAGGTACCGGTATATCTATATACATGTAATACATGTAGGCTCAGAGTAATGTATGAGCAATATGTTGTATTGGCAATGGGCTACTTACAAGATCCAAACCACAAATCCACAAATGTTGCTTGCTATGATAACATACTATAGCTGTTAATGATACAATAACACATTATGCACATATAAAATGGATTGTATTAGTCATGATGAAAGATACTGTTTATGTACCGCAAAAGAATGATTTTACAGTTTATAGAAGTTTTGCCAATAATGCTTTCAATATGCACGTGTAGCTATACACACAACATATCTTATAAAATGAAATGTATTTGTTTGATGAAAGATACTGTTCGTGTACATACCGTGGTACATGTAACACAAAAGAATGTTACAGTTACAGAAGTTTTGGTATAGCTACGCGTGCATATTGAAAGCATTATATAATGTACACACACTTCCTCTTTTCTTCTCTCTAGCTAGCTTATCATTATTTCTCAAGCTCTGTGCCTTTTATAATTGTTTTGCCAATCTATCACAATCACACCATTAATTAATAATGACATCATTATGATGTAATGAAAAACAAACAGTTATTATTACTATTATTATGATGAGAAGCAATAGCCAGAGAATAAAAGAGAGAGAAAGTTCTATTAATAAAATAAAAAATGATTGTTATTTATACAAGTGACCACACCCCCAGACATTTATCCTTTCCTCCAGTCACAACGATATTGTCATTCAAAGAAACGTCAATACTCGTAATAGCATCTGGAAATAATAATAAAACAAAGTTAATAATAGTAGATGTACCTGTGTGATTTTTAATGGTTGATATAATGTTGAGTGTATTAGAGTCCAATAAAGATAATGACCCGTTCATACCACCTGCTAATAACTGGGACTGTAACCATACTACACAACTGGAGGAGAGAGAAAGAAAAAAAGAAAGAGAAGATGTGATGTAATGAAGAGAAGAGAAAAGTCGAGAGAGAGAGAGAGAAACGATGTACATGGGTAGAGAAGATATTATGGTGTAGAGGTATTAGAGAGAAGAAGGGGAGAAGTGATGAGAGAGAGAGAAGGAGTAGTGAGTGATGTTATTATTACCAGTAGGCTTCTTCTCTCTTCACAGCAATTGATTCTGATCTTTCTTTCACTGAGAATAACTTAATAAAGCCATCAGCACCAGTAGTACAAACACTAGAGCCATCTGAAGGAGAGAGGGGAGAGAGAGAGGAACAATAAAATTGAATGCATGTACTGGTACAATGTACATTCATTCTACAAGTGAAATCACTATCATTTATACTAGACACTTACCAGGACTAAAGGTCACTGATAATACATCATTATCATGAGCTGTTTATAAAAATTTTAAAATAAATAAATATACCTAATTAACAATACTTGTGTACCTTTAAATTCAAATTCTTTTGCTTCATGTTCAATATCCCATACAGCTAAATACCCTAATGAATGAATGGAGGGAGGGAGGAAGGAAGTAAAATACTGTATAGTGCAAAAATTTTCAAGGGCTGTAAAATTTCACATGTTTTGCTATTATTTGAATATTTGCAAAAATTACTTCCGCAAAAATTAAATTATTATTGTATAAAATGTGACCATAATTGACAAAAGGTACCTTATGGCGGATAGGAAAATTGGTCTTTATAGCCTAAAAAATCCAACTTCCTGAGCTCCATTTATCATAAAATTACTCCAGAGGATGCAAAAAGTTACTATGTAGCTCATAGAAACAATTGTTGACTAACAGAGCACTCACAGGTTGATATTTTTCATTAGAAAGATGATTTTTAAAATCCGCCATAAGGTACCTTTTGTCAATTATGGTCACAAATGGCAGATGGCATAAACTTGCAAAAATTAAATCCACAAAATAGATTTTTAGGCAAATTTGCGAAATTTATAGCCGTCAAAAATTTGTGTCATACAGCATTGTATTGATATATTTACCATCAGATACTCCTGAAGCTACTAGAGTGACATCATTATTAATATCAAGTGATGTAACCTAAAATAGAACAAATTTCTAATAATAGACACAGCAATGACATCACTCAAACAATACAAAAAATCTAAAAATAGACACAGCTGTATGTTACTAAAAATAGGCACACCATACCTCATTATCATGATCTAACTCGGCCTAAAATAATTAATAATCATTAATTAATATATAGCCAGGCCCACTCACTATCATATTAGGTGGAGGAGGTTTTCCAGAGGAATTCTTGTCATAAGGAAAATCCCAAACCTGCATGTAACGTACATGTACATGTACACATTTCGGAAGTCACATGGTGACATGTACCTTAACCGTGGAGTCCCATGAACCAGTGACCAGTCGACCGTTCTTATAACAAACGCACGTTACTAAAAATAAATATTATACCATATAGCAGGAAATTTAAAGGGAAGTAAGTTTGGCAAATTTGGTGTTTTGATCTGGCCATTTGCCAAATAAAAATCAACATTTTGAGCCATTATGTACATGCTCAATGGCACATGGCCACAAATTTGTCAAAGTAAAACCCGCCAATCACCAAATTTTATCAATTCACCAAATTTTACTCCCTTCAAAATTTTCCGCTAAACAGTAATTATTTAAAAATTATTCCCATTACCTGAGCTGTCGTGAGCATAACACGAATCAATGATTGAAGCGTATTCAATGGAATAGAGATACCTACAGTGAGTGGGCGGTAGAGGTCATGTGACTATCATGTGATGATACATACACGTTATTGTCCCAAGAACCAACAGCTACTGTCCTAGTACTGGGAAGAACAGTCATACTGGATAATGGCTGGAGGAAAAGAAGAGAAAAGAATAATAAAATAATAATAATAATAATAAATAATATAAATGTACATTCTATATAGTGGTTATATTTCACTGGAAATAAATTTCACTAATTTCATGCTTTCATTAAATTCGAAAAATTTAATTCCACAAAAAGGGTGTGATACACTTGAAAAAATGGTTGCAAAAGGTAAGGTTTGAGAAAATTTATACCAACAAATGACAAATCTGGACAAATTCACAAAATTTTATACTAACAAATAATACATAATTTAAATAATTATTACTTACTAGACTTGATATTGAGAAACTGCCAATCATTGATACATCATTCACTCCATGAACCTTTAGCAACTTATCTAATGAGACACATAATGATCATTAATAAAATACTAGTTATAACTTGAAAATTTGAGCTCAGAATCAACTCAAACTTTCTACACAGCATAAGTACATCAATATGTATCAGGAAATGTAATAAAAATTTGAGGTGATTTCAGAGCAATTTTTTAGAAAAAACCATGGGCTATATATAGCCTTGGGTATTTTTCAGATTTCGGCCATTTTTAAAAAATGGCCGTAACTTTAAAAATTGAAGTCGAAATCAGCTCAAACTTTCTACATAGCATAAAGACATCATTATGTGTCAGAAAATGTAACAAAATTTTTGGGTGATTTCGGAGCCATTTTTCAGAAAATCCATCAGCTATAATAGCCTTAGGTATTTTTTAGATTTTGGCCATTTTTTAAAAATGGCAATAACTTGAAAAATTGAAGTCAGAGTCAGCTCAAACTTTCTACACAGCATAAGTACATCAATATGTACATGTACATATTTATAATTCTCAATATATTTATAAAATACAACCTCCATCCCATCCATTGTCTTACCATGTGATACTGTGTAAACTGATTTACAATCATGAGACAATCTCACACAAGATATGATACTAAAAATTAAATAATAATAAATAATAATATTAATTATTAACTAACTCTTTGTGTATTTTCTGCATTTTTCTAAGTTTCAATCCACTGCATGTACTAGCAATACCTTTACTAATATCTTCAAGTGGAGGAGCTAATAAATAAATATAATAATTAAATAAATAAATAAATAATATACATCTAAAGATACTGTAATTTAATACATGTACATGTAAGTAATTAACAAAAGGTTACAATTTATTATTCTACAATTAGAGTCAATTCTTATTTTCCCATTTTTATGCTTCCATTCTTATACTTCCATTCCCATTCTTATATTTTCATTCCTATACTTCTATTCCCATACCTTCATCAGTCTGTACAAAGACCCAGTCCTCACTGAAGCTCCCTATACTGGCGGTTGATGATAGTTCTCTTGACAGTTCTCTCTCGGTTTCAATCTTTGGTTCTGGTGGTTTAGGGTCTGAGTTGGTTCTACGCTTCGGGTGAGGTTCTTTGAATAATTGTTTTGGTGTTTGGCCAAATTCTTTAATCTGAAGTTCAATGGCCGCCTTCATAGCTGGATCAAGAAACCTTTAATGAGAGAGAGAGAAAGAGAAATAATAGCAACCAATGTAAAAGAACATGGTAATATGTCATATACCGTATAGCTGGAAAAGTTTGCAGGAATTATATTTTGCGATTTTGTACCCGTATAGCTTATTTTAATGTTTGTGGAATTTAATTTTGCTGGTGTAGGCGTGTACTGTTGATACACCCATTACTTATAATGCTTTGCGGAATTAAATTGTGCGTTTTTATGATGAACAGCAAACAGCAAAATTAAATTCCAGCAAATATTTCCAGCTATACGGTACGTGTACATGTACATGTAGTGGTGAAGTTTTAGTTTTAGTTTAGAGATACAGAGCGTATTAATGCTGCTATCATAGTATCTCCAATATCTTTAATATTCTACCGATTGTACCCTAAATATTCATGTACTACATGTTCACTTACTGATGATCAACTGCAGCTGATGATTCGTACGTTAAATAATGAAATACTAGAGGGGGAGGGAGGAGAAAGAGGAAAGTGAGGAACAGAGTGAAAGGAGGAGAAAAGATATAAGAAATATGGGCTCTATAGCCTTTGATTTTTGAGCAGCTTAAATATTTTTTAAACCAATTTTATTGAAAAATTTTAAAATTGAAAATTTTCACGCAACAATTGCCAAAGAAATTGTGAAACAGTATAACTTCATTATCATTACATGTGATATTATTATTAACATCATCTTACAGTTATTGGCTTTCATAGCTTCAGTCCCTTGTTGCTTGTATCCAAAGATAAGATCAATCCAATTGTGCAGTCTCTCTGATACATACTCACACTCCAGGGACTCCAAACACTTACTGGTGAACTCTCTAGCATCTGGTAGATAATAATAATAATACTGTACGCATCTTAAATTTTTGAGGTGCATTAAATTTCGTTATTTTCGTGCTCCACAAAATTTAAGCCACCTCTAATGTCATTCTATTGTACGTAGACTATGGCCAGAACACAAAAATTAGCTCACACAAATATTAATTTTTCATTAAAAACACTAAATTTTAAACACTCAAAAATTTGAACGTATACAATACTTTATATTATTAATACTGATTACACTGTAAAGCTGAGAAACTATTAGTAGCAGGCCCATAAAAATGTACCATTTCAATGGCAAGTTACTGCTTAAGAGCTACATGTATCAATTACAAATTTTTAACAAATCACCATATTAAGGCTATCATACACGATGCAACATTGTTGCATGCAACACGTTGCACCGTGTATGATACCCTATTTTGTTGCATGCAACACGTTGCACCGTGTATGATACCCTATTTTGTTGCATGCAACACGTTGCACCGTGTATGATACCCTATTTTGTTGCATGCAACACGTTGCACCGTGTATGATACCCTATTTTGTTGCATGCAACACGTTGCACCGTGTATGATACCGTATTTTGTTGCATGCAACACGTTGCACCGTGTATGATACCCTATTTTGTTGCATGCAACATGTTGCACCGTGTATGATGCCCTATTTTGTTGCATGCAACATGTTGCTTGAAGTTGACAACCGTTCAACTTGGTGCAACATGTTGCATCGTGTATGATAGCCTTAATACATGTACATGTATATTATAGCTTCCACCAATATTTCCAGCTATACATACTTTTAGCCCAGGGAGGTAGTATGACATCATTAACACGATCACCATCACTTCTGATGCCTAGATTTAACCCCTAATGTAATAATATTAATAATAATATCAGTTAAATGTGTATGATTGTCATTGTAAGTGATATTGATTTGAAATTACTTGAAAATTGAGAAGGAAATCTCCAGGGGGTTGATAAAACTCAGGGATGAGCTTTAAAAATAAATAAGATAAATAAATGTAAAAAAATAAACTCACTTCTTTCACATCAGCATGATCCGTTAACACATTGTCCCATGTCCTTGATACACTATATATCATTAATAATTATTAATAACTGTAACCACACCCACTACCACACCCCCCTCACCTGTGAAAGAGTCGGTTTGGATGATCAAATCGTCCGTTTTGTAAACACAACAAATACTCTGGAGCTGTAGGGGGAGAGAGAGGGGGGAGGAGGGAGGGAGGGAGGGAGAGAGAAGGTAGAGGTACAAGATAAATAGGTTTTCCTAACCAGTTCTGACTAGATAGTACAGTACATAACCAGGTGCTGAGTAGTGAGTGCCATAGAGAAACTTCCTTCCAGACATCTCAGCATAACGATCCTTTCAATTAAAATATTAATTAATTAATTAATACTACCTTCTAATGTACTCATATACTTTAAAGAATGTTAGTCTCTCTTCATTCAGTGCTCCTATTGGTTTAGATAAATCTCTGAATGTATCCGGTTTTGTTAAATCTAATAATAATAATAATGACAATTAATAAATGATTAATAAATAATAATAGCCTTACCTAGGGTAGTACTAGTGTAGTCAGCTAGTATCCATGGTAACACAGGATATTGCATGATATCATTAAAACTCCGATCAGCAACACTAGAAACACAATAAAAATGAATTGTAAGTGATGTTTTTTTGCATGGTTATATAAGTGAATGGAGAATGAATGAATGGTGGAATACATGTTCCAAAAATTGCTAATAGTGAATATCATTTATTTGAGGTCACTAGGGATAAATCTACTTTTGGGACCACCCCACAAAATACAACATGAAAAGCAGTAACTGTATGTGTGTTCCACTCAAATTTATCTTAGCAGCTAGCTGCAGGTTACTTTTCTGATCATGGCTTTATCTAAGGGACCATTGTCACCACTGTTAAGAGCTAAGAAGATACCAAGAGCCACCCCTGTACTACAAGAAAGTAAATGTATAGCAGCTATTGACTTTGGGACATCATCACTATCAGTAGCATATACTTGTACAAATGATGGAGTCATCAAACTGGTACCACTTCACAGTACTTATGAGAGAGTACCTAATGCTATACTAATCATGAAAGATGATGGAGAGCAGATGTTGAAACAATTGGGGTTGGATATAAAGCACAAAATTTGTACAATGATATAAAGAAAGATGCCAAGAGTTTCATTTATTTTGAAAGAATAAAAAAATTACTGGAAAGAGATAAAGTGAGTCTATATTGATGTACCTAAAATTACTTACATGTACATCATTTCTTAGTCATTAGGTCGTACTACTCAAGTCTCTTCATTCACTGGTGGTTCTTATTATCTTATTGAAGTTATAGCTTTTATACTGACACACCTCAAGGAGAAGCTACTGACTGATCATTTGAAAGGAGACTATAGAACAACTGATTTTGATTGGGTCATTACTGTTCCTGCTATATGGAAAGCAAGAGCAAGAAGAATGATGAGAGAAGCTGCTTATATGGTAACCTAATACATGCTTTGTATTTCATTATGTTAATATGATAGGCTGGTCTCACTTCTGATGCTCCTGGTATAACAAGGTTCACTCCAGTTGATTCCCCTTTACCACGTCCAGAGGAGGTTAATCCTGAGAAGCTATCATTAGCTCTAGAACCAGAAGTAGCTGCTATAGCTGCACAGTATTATTCCCTAGTATCAGGGTCCCCTCCACAGAGATATATGGTAGTTGATATAGGAGGAGGTACAGTTGATATTACTGTACATGATAAGAGTAAT